CACACACTCTGCCTATGCTGAAATATGGCTACCAAGGCTCACTTGAACTCTAATCCTACACTTTTACAAAAATTTTCCTCCCTGCTACCTCTTCAAAACGGAAAATCAAATTATCATTTTAAGAATTGTCTCATGTGCTTGCTTACACAATTTTGAAGCCTATATTGAATTTCTCCATCATCTGGGCATAGGCACAGATACTTCTGGGTTACCAGAGCTCCTAATTGAGCATTTATGATAGTACCTTTAGCAAAAGTATTGAAATTATTGATAGCCATTAAGACACATACATTGATATTTTTCTGGTGCAATGAAGCTAGACTACCTGGTTTAAAATTTTAGCTTTAAAATGCAAGGATGTTTGGATATATGGAAACTACTTAACTTTTCTCTGCCTGAGTTTTCTGACATATAAAATAAAGCTTCTAATAATACCCCTCCTACTGCTCTTTTGAATATTATGTAAGTTTATCCATGTAGGGCAATTAAAACAGTGCCCAAAAGAAGCACTCAATAAAACTTACCTATTATAATAGTAATCTAGGGACCTTCATACTTATATTTATCCCCACAAGACTTAATATCATATGCAGATATAACACATTCTCCATCAGAAATATGCTGAGTAAATGGGTGCCTCTACAGCTATGTCTAACTATGTTTTAATTTAAAATCATTTTGTCCTTGTAAACAATTTAGACTTAAGCATTTCTGGTAACCACAATCCATCTAAAGTGACCACTCAATTTCCTAAATTATTCTTTGGTAATATAATGGGCAGCATTGTCTTAATACATAACTTTTAGAGTAGGGCAAAAATTAATACTACACAGACAGTTATGCTATTATCTGTGTTGGTATAAGCAAATTATTGTGCATTCTCGAGTATGCATACTCACACATGTGTATGTGTGCACATACCTGTACTAGAAGTTTTTACTTGTTTATTGGGTGTAATTAGCAATAAGTGGATTAAATTATCAGATAAAATTCATTTCTCTCATACTCTACTGTGGTTAACCTCAACTCTCCTCTAACAGTAAATTCAAAACATGCATTAGAGAAACACATTGCTTTATCTTCAGATATTCTTGTGATGTCTTTTGAAAAAGAGTAAGTAGTCATCATTATAAACAATATCATAATTTGCTTTTATTTAAAAGGGTGTTAAACTTTCAAGAAAAAAACACAAAATTTAACTATTGTTAAGACAATCGTCCACTAAGTCACGGAAAGTCTCCTCTGTAAATATGAGGACATGGTCTTAGAGTTGCATGTAGGAAAATTAATTTTTTCTCTAAATAAGTGGAATTTTTAATAATGAGAACTACACTAATTAATGTTTTCCACAAAAGCTTTTTCTTTAAGACAATAGAAAGTCACATTTGAAGCTCACAAGTTGTGTCTTTTCCATTTGCCTTTTTCTTTTGCATTGAAATTTGTACTATTGACAATAATTTACTTTTCTATAGACTGTTTACAAGGCTTTCCAGAAAGAGCAGGAATATGAATCTTTTTATAGATATTTTTACAAAAATACATACAATGCTTTGAATCAGTCTCCATGTTCTCGCAATTCTATTCCCAAATCTAGAAGCATCAAGGTAGAGTTAATTAAACTTTAATTAGTTTCATTGTGGAAAGAAAATCTTGGCAACTGATGTTTCATTTAAATTAGAAATGCATCTTCTTGGGGAACCGTGAGGGTTTATTACCATGTATCTGTAGAAATAATGCTGCTTAAGTGTAATCATAGGTTTAATGTTATACCTATTCTTTTTATATCAAATTTACAAATACTAATTCATCTTTTAATTTAACTGGGTAAATGTTATGTCTTATATTTAGATATCCCCCCCAAGCCTCATGCAGTCATAGGTGGGGTTTTTCAGAGGTCGTTGGATCTAGAGTGTGTGATGCTGGAATTGATTCATGGTGCAATGCTAGGTTCTTGGGCACTAGGATTAAGGGTGTGAGTGCTGCCTGCCCTAAGTAACCTGGCTAAGATATAAGGGGCAGAAAGACCCTCTTACGGTCCCTTGTTGCTTTTTCTGTCTTTTGTGTGCAATGAATTATTTCTCCTCTGTGACTCCCCTCTGCCATGTGCCACTCTGCTTTGGACCCAGCCAACTACAGACTGAAACCTCTACAAACTGTAAGCTAAATAAATCTTTCCCCCTTCAACTTTGAGTGTTAAGTATTTTGTCTCAGCAATGAGAGAAAGTAACTAACACTATACATTTCATATTCTCCCAAGAATTATAATGGTAGGGTTCTGCAATACCAAACAACAACTTTCATAATCAAACTTGTAGATCTTTTACATTTATACCCACTGGGAGGTTTTCTATCCAGGATTTAAAAAATGCCCCTTTCCACAAACTGTCAACTTTACAACCTTCAGTTCTGGCAACTAATATCTAAGGATCTTATTCATTTAAAAACAGAGCACAGTTTCATGCAGAGACATTCCGGGAACTTCACTGTGACGTCTATCTCCTGTGATAAGCAAATTTATACTGGCAGAGTAGTTCTAGAGCTACGATATTCTTTTATTTGACTTAGATTTCAAAACTCATGTTTATATTGTTTAAAAAACAATTGTACTTCTTCCTATTGCACATTATATAGAATACATTTTGGTCCTATTTTTTGCACCGAAAGGTCACATAGGAAGGGGCATGGGGTAAATAAAAAAGGGAAAAGGGAAAAAATGAGAAAAGAATGATAAAATAGAAATAAAGCTTTTGTAAATAAGGAGGGGAAGAAGGGTTGAAGTAAGGGGAGGGAATGGGACAAAAGGAAAGAATTACAATATATCATGTACAGGTACAAATTCCATATGATGAATGTGATCATTATGTACAAAATAAACTGATTTAAAAAACAATTGTACTAGAAGTATAGGAAATTATCCTATAAATGTTTCTAGTTATTGTTATATTTTATGATATTGAGAAATCACATAAGCAGAAGCTGTAAGGAATAACCACAGATACTTTGCTGCATACTTCAAAAGACTCCACATAGAGTCCACAACACCCTTGAAATTTTTGAAGACCTTTCTTCTAAATAAGGCAATGATATCTGAGCAAGCTACCCTGCTCTGAATTGGAGCTGCTTCGGTTTTGATGTCTCTTTCTGCACATCTGGGCTTACTTTGACTTTCTACTAAAATTCAGGGATTGCTTTTATGGGGTTTGCCCAGGACCTCAAGAAAAGACTCTGAATCTTAGTAGGCAAGTTATCAAGGAGCCAGCTCCTTTTCAACGGCCTTGCGTTTGCTGTTGTAGTTTTGTAAGGTCATTAGATACTGACTGGCCAGAATGCCACTCCCAGAGTGATTTCAGTGACTCAGTCTTTATAATTACATAGATGTCCTACAAACAATGTTTGGCAGGGACTCCATACATCATAAGGCAAACCCTGATTATATATGTTCATTTCAACAAGGCTTCTGTAGAAGACCTTCCCTACTGTATTATCCAATAAATATTAAATACATTGCCACAAGGAAAATTTCAAAAATGTAGCCAAAAGTGCTTAGATCTCAAATGGATATGTTTTGTTTAATCTCACATTGGAATCTATAGAAGGAATATGTTTCTCTTCAGCTGAAGGTTTCAGAAAGCTCAGGGATTTAATGGTTGAAAGTCAAGATCTTCTATACCTATTTCCAAATAATCTTCCCATTATGGGTTTTCCATTTCTGTCTTTGTTTTTTTGTTGTTGTTGTTATTTTGTCAATTCTCCTCAAGGTTATATATTTCTTTAAAACTGATATGACAAAAACTTTAGAAAAATTAGAATAAAATTCAAAAATTAAAAACTATTAATTTTTCAAGAAAAAAGATTTTTGGAAAAGTTTGTTAGCTCTGTCTATTTAGGCATGATTGAAAATTTTAATGAAAAAACAAGAAGTAAGAAATATATGCTTAAATTGTTGCTTTTGCAGAAAAAATCCATATCAATAAACGGTAAAAACTAAAAATTGTGTACTGTGGTATATGAAAGATTCACTTGTATGTATTTCACTTCTAACATTTATCCATTTGACCATAAGTATCTTCAAAAATATTTTGCAAAATTTCTAATAAGGAAATTGAGTATAAAGTCTAAACTAGGCAAATCAAATTCTTTAAAATGAAAATTCAAAAAGAATCTTATATTTTGAAGTAACTATGGAAGGAATACATTCTGTGATTCATTATTAACAATATTAATTTAGAGTATTTGTACCTGCTGACTCTTCATTGTATCTCTGATTCCTAAATTCCAGAGTAACTGTGAACAATAACTATATCTTTAATGACATTACCATATTTTGACATCATGTCTTCAACAAAAAATATCAAAGGTGAAAACAAAACACACACACACATACACATAATATTTTCATTATAAAGAGAATTGAAGCAAAGAGGTATGTTATGGTTCATGTCTAAATGTCTCCTCAAAGCCTCATTCACTCATAGGTGGCTTCCGAGGTGGCTGAGTCTAGAGTGTGTGATGCTGGGATTAAGGGTGTGTGATCACTAAACCAGTCCACTGAGTGGTTTGGCACCGCCCTAATCCCAGTAATCTGGATAAGATAAAAGGGGCAGAAAGGCCCTGTTAAATTTCCCTTGTTGCTTTTGCTACTTTGTGTGTGACATGTTATTTCTCCTGTTTAAGATCTGTCTGCCAATCTCCCTTGGAGCCAGCCAATTCTAGACCTAACCTCTACAAACTGTGAGCTAAATAAACCTTTCCTCCTTTAACTTTGAGTGTTGGGTATTTTGTCTCAGCAACAAGAGAAAAGTAACTAAATCAAGGTATTAAATGCTATTCTACAGCTTACCCAGGTCATTGAGACAGGAAGACAAATCAGGTCTCTTGGATTTCGATTCCAGTGGTCTAGTCACTGGTTTTGTCAACTCCTGTGTGAAACATCCATAAACAATACACAGTTCATGTTCCCTCTTCCCATAAAATAGTTGCCAAAAGAAACATGCCATTACCTTTCCCACGTACTGAGGCTCGGAGCCCATGTATTCTTCCAGCACAAAAAATTGATTCCATACCCAGCCACGTTTAACACGTTGGATATGTGCTCTTCGACCTGGCAGGTGGATAACATTTTTTCGAGGTTCTGTGGCTAAAGTCTGTTGTGGCTGTGGTTGAAGTGGTGTTAGGAGACCTCCATCAAACAGGACCCAGAGAAGCAGGGATAAACAGTTCCTTGTAAGCATTGGCAAAGGCTTTTCTACAGCAGAGTTATAAAAACTCCAGAGTTTAATGCAGAATTGTGGAATCCAGGTTTGAGGTTCTGTGGGCTTCACCACTTAGCTTTCTCTTTTATTGAAGGTAAGTTAATTCAGGCATTAATCTTTTTGAGGCTTCCGATGTATTATATTCCATCTAAAGGGACCTACAAAATAGATTAACAAAGATACATTAAATTAATAACATTTCATAATGATATTCCTCAGAACTATCTATATATATGCATTGAAACAAGCAGAGGGCAGACCCTAAAAGAAGTATATTGGCAAATACTCACTGTTACTGAAATTTTAAAATTTAGATAAATTATTTATGTTCTTTAAAACTTGAAAAATTATTAGTTACATTGAAGCAAAAGTCATATTTTACAGAGAAGCAATACATATGTAAATTCAATAAGAATTTCAAGGAGCATACACAAATTACTGTTTTACAAAAGCGTTCCTTAGAGTTGGAATTTGCAACTCAGCTCTATCCTGATAGTAAAATTTAATGTTAACCAAAGCTTATTGTAGGTTACAATTGCCACATTCAGCTATAGGAATAGAAACATTCCTGCATTTGGCAAGCAGGTAGTTGGGTAACAGGCTCCAGTCGGAATGGTGGAGCCTCAATGCCTAGGGAGTATGAGGTGTCTGGGGGACCTAAATGTTGGAGCCTAGGAAATCTATGTAAAGCTTCCAAAACAAAGAAACAAACCAAAATCAATGCAGGTTTAATTAAATGTCTACAAGTATGGTGTTTGCCAACAAGTCATCTGCAATTCAGGCCAAAGCTTGCTCAGTTATGTAGTATATAATAAAACTGTACAAGTATTCTTCATGAAGATCATAATTTTCAATATTAACAGGGCAACAATTCACCATGCTAGAGATAAGATGTAAGGTAGGCAGAGTCCAAAAATTATACACCATGTATTTTCTAGAGGGGCAATGTTAAAGGCAAAACAAAAGTATTCTAACTTGTCTACTATCTGAAGGTTAGATACTGACAAAAACTTAAATTGTATGTATTTTATTACATTTTCCAATTCTGGAAAACTAATGTTCCCAAAATTAACATGGATCCACTGTGCTCAATATGGCAGTTACTAGTTATACATGGCTACTTCATTAAAATTTGGTTATTTGGTACCAACACGTAATATAATATAAAATTATACACCAAATTTTAAAAACTTAATGGAAAATTAGAGTTATTAACTACTATATTTATTACTTTTTACATGTCAGTATTCAGATAGACTATGTTAAATAAATATATAAATTAAATTATGTTCTCTTATTCCATTTTTAGGGTACTTGCTAAAAAACTAAAATTCCACATGCAGTTTACGTTTTTGGTTGCATTATTTCCTGCTGGATACCTAATTTAGACAACAGAGTTTAAATCACATACTCATTTAATGTTTCTCTTAACATTGAGATTCAAATAGCTAACAGGAGTTATACCTTTTGTGTGGTAGCAATACATTAGCAGACCAGAGGATATTTGCATCTATTTTCAATACGCCTTTGTCCAATATGATAGACATATTTTCTTTGTTTCGAAATTTAAACATTAACATCGAAAGTGCCATAGTGTCCTGAACTTCCCTTTTTTTTGTCTTCCATGTTTCTTCCCATGCTCATCTGAATCATAGTTCAGGGTTATTTGGTTCAAATAGAGAGAATAACACAAGAAGAAATGAGAGTGAATAGAACTCTGGCCGGGGATTTAGCTCAGTGATTTCGCCGCCTGCTGCACAAGTGCAAGGAACCGAGTTCGACCCCCGGTACCAAAAAACAAACAAAGAAAAAAAACTCTGACCGCCCAGATCTGTTCAAGTATCTCTGATTAGTTTGTATTTCTGGTTTCTGATCTAGGAAATACTTTCTCCTCCATTAATTTGTAGATGTGAGGCATTAAAATGCAGATTTTAGAAAGCATTGACATCTAAATTTATTTTTCTAAAGATTTTTAACTTAATATAAATATGTTTTATGCAGGGCAACTGGTTATATTAATCATCAATACCATTACTCTGTTTGAAATTCTGCTTCCTTTTATAAGTCAAAAGTTTCTAAAATCTGAGTTTGGCTACCATAGAAATAGTTTTGAAATTCTAGTGTACTTATGTTATGTTTCTTCTCTTTTGTGTTAGAATGTGTCTACACTATGATGAAATTAGATAAGAAATGAATGATAAGTACTTAAAAATTTGAGTATAACATGGGAAGTTTGTTGCTTCTTAAACCATTCCCCGATATAGCCCCGACTGGTACCTCCAGAAAACAGAAAGAAATACAAAATATGGCAACAAGGCTGAAGTTAACTTAAGCCCCAGAGGACAATGTGCAACAAATCTCTCATTTTCCACAGGCCAATATCCTCTTCTTTCTTCTGGCTCCCATTGGACATGTACTCTCTCATAATATGTTGTGTTTCTTCTACACATCTGTGCAATTCCTTCATTCTTTTTCTAAATAGAATGGTCCATATATCTTGCCTATCCAATTACCTTCACCTTTTTTTCTTAGATTGTTGTATTTACAGAGATATTTATGTATTAGTAATTATTTCTGCTAATCTTTTCATTAGAATAATGACTTGTAGAGGTGATTGCATACTTTTTAGGAATCTTATTTTTTCCATGAATTCTAATATTTGTATATGAATTTTACAATGTGCAAAATTACACAATTATGTATCAAAGTGTAGTAAGTGTGGTATTCATGAATTTATCAGGGTCCGCTTAACTTTTGACATTCTTCTTTTCTTAAATGCAACTCTTTAGTTTTTATTCATACTACTAATAACTTAGAGATACATTCACGACATTATTTTTTTTTCTTTGTTGATGAAGTAAAGGGAGAAGGACAGAGTAATGATGTTTTCACTTTGGCATTTACAGTATTACCTGGGATGTGGTAGGTACCAAGTACATAGCTGTTACACTTCAGTAAATTATTCATGGAAGGATAGTAGCCAATTTTATCTAAACTTTACTGTGTTCCTCATAGTGTTACATATTCTGTGTGAGCACAACAGCTCTGAGAAGGAGTTGCTGTCTTTGTGACCATGCTGCACAAGCAATGGTGAAGAAAAGAAGTTAAATGCGTTGACCATGCTCCACGAGTTGGTACATTTTATGCAGACTGGAAGCTGTGTAGTCTGTCCCCAGAGCTCAGACTCTTGCATGCTACACTCTGCTGTCCCTCTGCTGATGAATGCAGAAACAGATAAAAAAAAAAAAATACCTCGGGATTGCTGTCCTAGCAAAGTAGGGAACATGAGCTTGAAGGTCTACATACTTTTCCCTAAACAAGTAGATATTTCAATACTGAGCCACCTAAGTTTTCTTAAAATCACATTTCTTAAAAATATGAGACTGAAATTATCAGTCTTTTGAAGTCAGGACATCCAGGACTACCAGCTTCCACTCCGTGTTATAAGAAGGTATATAATTACAGGTAGAGGCAGACCGATTTCAATAATCTTAGTGTGTCATTAGCATTGAGTGATGGCTGATAATTGAGCAAGTGCTCAACAGCCTGACTAATCCACCAAGCCGGGCAAAAAATGGGTCCCGTGACCTGAAGTAATTGTGCTGACAGAAAAGCAAGTTGTTTCTGGCTGTGCCAGGCTCCCTTGCAGTTAGTCTGAGCTACAGGTGCAGTCCTTGGCTCAGATATCATAGTTGGCAGCATGTGTGACCCACTCAACAATTTTGCATCTAAGGATGGCTTCCAGTCTGGGTCTCACTAAAAATTAATTAAAAATGAGATGGCCTTTGGAATAAACTACTTCTGGTGTATCATTTTAAGAGAAATCATACTAGGGCTCAAGCTAATTAATTGTCCATTAAATAGCAACCCGAATGGTGGAATTACAGTGTTCTTCCTGTAGAGCTTTGTACTTGACTACATATGTAGTCAATTAGAATGTGTGTGAATAGTTTTGCAACTCATCTCATTGCTTTAAGACCCTAAAATCTATTCCAAGTCTCCATATCTCTTCAGTCCTTTAGTGAGCAGATGAACTTGTTTTTCTCTGCAGGTTGGCACTCTCACTAAAGCCAGGCATCTAGCCACAGTGAGAGCCACAGAGCTTTGGAAGCATCCTAACAAAAATAATGCAAGGAAACAGAACCCTGATTTGTAATGGGACAGGAAACAACTCCCCCTGCCATAAACCATAGGCTAAATTATAAGGAAAGACGTTATCAAGCTATCAACGTGGGTATACTTGCCCCGCTGTCGAAGGTACTGTTATAAAAGGAAGAAAAGCAGACTTATTCTGAGGTGTCAGCACCCTGTGGAATCATGTGAACCTTAAAGCAGACATAATTGTTACAAAGGACATAGCCACAGGTGTATTTTATTCCATATATCCGATTTCAGGCATAGTGTTTAAAAATTTATACTGCTCTATTATTTCTAATGTCTTTTAGAGCCAAAATAGTTTTCCAAACACTTCCCAAACCTTATGTGAGTCTTGGGAGTCAAACATTCCTTTTAGTAGGAGAGGGTTTTTAAAAAATTATATATCAAAGCAGAAAGTATTTAGCTGTGAAAAATCAACAGATAGCAACAATTTCTCTTTAAGTGTGTTTCCCAAGCTGAAAGAGATATAAGGGCTATGGCTTCCATGGTTATATATTTAATTTTACATATAATTACTTACAAGACTAACCCCTAAGAAGGGGCCTATTTCATCTAAATTACATTGAAAAGGCTCTCTTTGTCAGGGGAGAACTTCAACTGACAGATATTTTAATTATTAAAAATAGTTCCCCATTATGACTAGCATACTAAGACTACCTATATATTGCATGATTCTTTAATGATAACCATGATTATGGTATACATTAAATTAATATTCTATGAAACAATTTTTGAAGAACATTTCTTTAAGTTTAAAACAGATAATTTATGCTTTTGCTCATCCCTTCTTGTGATTAATGATCTTTTAATTTGAAATAGTAATTAAGTGATTCACATTCAAAAATAATATAAAGGAAAGTATTCTTTTTGGGGGGGTGGGTACTGGGGATCGAACTCGGGTCTTTGCTCTTGCGCAGCAGGCGGCAAAACCACTGAGCTAAATCCCCAGCCCAGTACTCTTTTTCTTATTACAAAAATATAGAAATAATAACCATAAAAT